ATACTTCTATAAGACTAAAATTGACTGAGAAACTAATCTCCAAAATACAACAAATCGTAACCATCATTCTTCCAAGACTTTTTACCATCACATGGAAATGAAGTGTAGAACAGAGCACCACAAGTTCTTAAACTCGTAAATTAGCACTAATTTAGATCCTGTGCACCGCCAACATTAAATTTAAAATAATTAAATATGCATCCACAGGGGAAAAGGCCAGAAAGAGAAAGTGAAATACCATTGCCTCGATTTCTGCAAGCTGACGAATCACGAGCCAAAACAATGACATCAGTGCATCCGCTTAAACCCCATATTCAACCCTAAACGACACGCGAGCTCCGTCACCTGAAAATCCGAACAAAGGCACCAAAACTGCAGGTCGTAGATCAGCATCAACAATTCAAACATCGAAACAGTTACATTTCAAGTTGCTACATGCTTCCAATCAATGAATTTAAAATAGAAAGTAAAGCCATCAAAACCCTAATGACGGAAGGGGTAAACAAAATCCGCACGTGAGAGGAGGAATATATTAAGAGAAGAGCGCGAAATAGTTAGGGAGAAATTGCAGTCGAAAATTTCGGGGGAGAGTGGTGAGTGGAAAAGGTGAGAGTACCTCCGTTTTCGGAGGGTGCCGGCGATCCCTTGCTTTGGAGCTGAATCGTATTACAGGGTTCTTCTAGACTTGTGTTTCAACGAGATATACTAGTATTTGCTACGTCACTTCCTTGGGTTCGGATCAGCTTCGTTTTCCATCGCTTCTCCAACTTGGCCCGGCTCTCAACTATGGCCTCAACCAAGGCCCAATCAATATCCAAAAATATCTTTTCGTGTATTTTTTTTTAGCTACTATTCTGATTTATACATTTCACATAATATATATATATTTGTTTACCAAACATCAAAAATATTAAAGACAATCATGCAAATAAGTTTTAAAGCTTCACTAATAACACCCGCACAAATATATTTAAAATACGAAAAAATTGTAAAAATAAAATAAAATTATAATGAATATCTATATAGTTCATCGTAATTCAATGAAAGGTATATAAGAAATGTACTTTTATCCTTATTTTAAAATGTCTTGTTTAGGGTGGTGAATATGTCATATATGAGATTTATGATAAAAGTTTTGGTTATCACTACACTATAGGAGTGTTGGTAAAAAAATGTTATTAGTTAGGTACTTATTGTCAATTATGAAAAATGATATAAAACATGTAAGGAGATGTGAATAATGTGATTTGTATTGAAGGTATATTGAGTTTGATGTGAATTATGTGAATTAATTAAATCTAAGTATTTTTTAGACCTTTCATTATAATGTCATTTCAAGTCAAATATGTCACTAAGTAAATTATTTCCCTAAGTAAATAGATATTTTTAAATAAATTTGTTAAAAATTTAATAATAATTTTTAATCAAAAAATATAAATGTTATAGATATGGGCTTTGAAAAAAAATTTATTTATATATCTTTTAGATAAGAACCTTAAAGAGTGAGCTTTTAGGAATACAAAAAGTAATTTTAAAGTTAAAGGACTTAAAAAATTTATATAAATATTAATAGAAAATATTTTTTTAAGAGGACCCAAAGTAAGGATTTTACTGGTCTAATGTTTGAATTGACTTTATTGGTGTAAAGAGTTACCATTATTGATAATGAGACATAATAGATAAAGGTTTTACACTCTATTGTAAGGATTGAATATCAGTAGCATCATCACTATGAAATGTTAACAATATTATTTCTAACACCCTTTTTACTATTTATTGAAAACAAACATTTTATTATATCTCATTGCTAAATCTAAGACGTATTAAATGATATGTGACACTCATAGAATTTAAGATATCAATAATAGAGAAAATTTAAAAAATAAAATATTTGAAATAGTGTGACTAATATTTTTGTTATGCATTTGTTGAAAATATTCAAACATTTGATCAAACTTAATCAATTAAATATATGATCCTCAAAATACTTAGGAAATATGAGATATTGAATGAGTGTGAACTATGGTGTTGAAACACTCATTTCTTTTAAAGTCACCTTAAATTTTTTTATTCATTAAAAAGAAAAGCAACACTAATTCAAATTATAAAAATATTGGCATATGGTGGGATGATTGAGACAATATACATAAAATTCTAGGTTTGAACCTTGTTATTTTTATTATAATTTTAATGGATAAAAAAAGCTTAAAAAAAACCTTTCAAAAGTATTATCTTTTAATGAAAATGGTAAAAATAAAAAATATTTTAAAAGCCATTTTTAAGAGTGATTGACTTAATTTTATCACAATTCACAAAATAAAAAAAAAGTTTGATGGTCATGGATTGAAAGTATGAAGTATTTGTTAGTATTGCAAATAACTATAATTTTTTTCATAGAAATTACAATGAGATTACCAATGTTTAAATTTAAGCCGCATACCATACAACCATAATGGTTTATCCTACCATAGCTTTTAAACTTACTTTTTGACTACTAAATTCTCAAGGAAACATTAAGTTATAATTGTTTGTTATCCTTCTAATTCACGTCTTAATAATCTATTAAAATTTAATAAACAATGAAACAAGGTATATAAATATATTTTGTTTATAAAATTTAAAAAGTACTAGAAAATTTATTTTATTATATTTAAATAAATGTATATTTTAATTTAAAATATATATAACAAGACATTAAATAATTTTCAAATTTTGTAAAAATCTATATACACAATCCATTTATTAAAAATTTAATTCTACCATTAGATAGTTGAAATTTAATCTAAATTATCAATCACAAAGTATATACAAAGTAGAACCCCTGATCTGGTAGGCTATGGCAGTTTGCTCAAAAACTCAGTTAATGATTGGTTTATGGGTTTCTATGGAGGTTTGAGGCAAGCAGATATCTTCAATGTTGAACTACCAGCTATTCTCCATAGTCATTATGATAATGTTTTATGTGAGGCTGATTTTTACATTTGTTTCATAATCCTTGTTATCCTTTTCACGCTATGCCACCATTGTGAAAAACAAAAAAAAAATAAAAAATATTCAAGAACATTGGAGAGTTCAGATCATTCACTCTCTACATGAAAGAATCTACTGTGCGATTTTTTTTGGCAAAAATAGGCCTTCATACTATTAGTGAGTTGATCACTTTAGAGACTTCCACTACTAGGATTCCTCCCCCGATCATGGCTAATGCTAAGAGACTTCTATTTATAGGATTGAAATTTTTCTCTCTTGCTTTTGTTTGCTTATGTTACAAAAAAAAATGGAGTAAAACATAAATAATTTTTTTTTGTCCTTGACCTTACTTAAGCGTGGATCAAACCCTACCGCTAAACTACACGTAGTAGAACATAAATGTTTAGAAACACTTAGGAGAAAACGTGATAAATTTAAAATTATTGGCAAAATAATAAATGTTGAAAAACATATTTATTTAAATGTTATTTATTAAAAACTAAAAATAAAAACTATGAAATTTGATTTAAAAGTAGAAATTGATTTGGTATTTTAAAAATCGGTTCTCACATTATTAGAATAATGAGTTAGTTTGTTTAAGCCTTTTTTTTTTCTTTCTTTTTCATTTACAAAACTGGTTTTTTTAAACAAAATAAATACTTTCTTTATTTTTTTGATATGTTTTTCTAAACTTTTTAAAAATAAATAAAAAATAAAATAATATATATATATATATATATATATATAACTTAAATATGTTTAAACTATTTCGAATTAGCTCGATTTTTATATATATATATATATATATTTTTTTTTTAAGAAACAACTCCTATCAATTTTTTTTAAAAATAAAATACTTGTTTAAAAATACTTATTTTTATGTTTAAACAAATAAGCCCAAGATTATATTCAAAGAAAATTAATCATCTTAAAACACACCATCTTGCTAAAAGAGAAATTAAAAAAAAAAATTCCATTACATTTTAATGTTATTTGTCCCGAGATTGATGCGATGATTTTGTCCAGGGATAATCTAAACTTATTTGGACTAGATTATTGTTATGGATTATAATACTTTTCATAAAAAGATTATAATTTTATTTGGTAAAAGTTAAATTAAAATATTAGATTGTTCCCATAATAAAAGAAAAAAAAGTATTCTAAACAATTAAAATTTTAATGTCTATTAAAATAAAAAAAAACAAATTTATTACTATTTATGATTAAAATATTTCTAAAAACAATTATAGGTCTTTGACCTTGTCACGTTGACCGGCACCTGAATCAAAAAGAGAGATGAGGTTAGGTCCATGCCTTATTAATTATTATCTATTAAAAATTCGTTACACACCTTATAAAACATGATGTGAACCAAAAATAGAATCATAATAAATGGAAGGTTTGAAGTTGACACAGTTTATTTATAAGTTTATTTTTCTCTTTTAAATTTAAAAACTATTTTTTTAGCTCATATAATTAATTTTTTTTCAAATTTTGTGCTTGTCAATAATTTTTTCAAATGAAATTTATTACTAGTTATGATAGGTAAATTACTTATTTATATTTTGATCAGAAAATGATATTAAATATAATTAATATTGAATAATTATTTTACTCTCTCACAGTTCGGAACAAAAAAACTCTCGTTATAACTGAGAAAGTTTTTAAAATCTATTAAGTTAAAAATGAATTTTAAATTTAAGAAATAAAAAATAAATTAACCTGAAATTTATAAGAATAGAAACATATTTAATTTTTTAATTGTGAAACAAAGGCATGGTAGGTCCCGTAAGGAGTACGCAGCAGAGGTCAAAAGTCAAAAAAACAATAGTTAAATAAACGTGTAACTACCAGTGAATGGTGTGTGGTGTGGAAAATTGATACGGCGTCGTAGAGCCATGACGTGGACCGTGATTCTCCATGTCCGCGCGCGCACTATAACTTGAATAACAACCCAATCATAAGGTGAGCACGCATTCTTAACGTGCGCACCCCCTACCCCTTTCTCACCCCAAACCCTATTTAAACCTACATCCACAATTCACGAACGACTTTGTCCTTTCTCTCTCTAACTTTCTCCATCCCTCTCTTTCTCTCTCCTGCCAACACAGGACGCTACGAAGAAAAGTCGCATCACGAACCTTCTCAGAAACCTCCGCGGATTCTTCATGAACCCACACCGTGTATCACGCCGCTCCCCCTTTTAGAATGGGATTGGAACCCTCGCTTCGACACCGGAGCTTTTGTTGCTGTTGCGTGCGCCGCGGCTTCTGAAAAAAAAAGCGAGTTAGGGTTTTGATGCGATCGATCTCGTTAGGTTATCGGCGATGATGGCGGATGAGGGATTCGATTATCCGTACGGGAACACCGTCGATGACGATAAGCTCTGCATCGATCTCGAGACCATCATGAGCGTTCTCGACGAGGATACCGATCCTTCCGGGGTATGCTTTTGTGCTTGCAACGACTGTGTGTGCCGATTTTTCAATGCTGTGTGTGAGTGGAATTCTGATAGGGTAGTGGAATACTGGAATTCAACTATTCAACTTTACCAAGTGTCGGTGATAATATTTTATATTCATGCTGGTGCCCGTTGAATGATTTACTTCTTTCATTACATAAGATGTGGAACTTCTTGCAATGTTAATTATCGATGCACTCCCTATTTCTGTTTATCGAATGCTACAGTGGTTTCCCTGTGTTTGTTTTTATTTCGTTTTGGAAAATTTCGTGCGTATGTAATGACCACTGAGCATTAGGGCTTGTTTATTTTCATAAGTGATGTTCTGTAGACAGCAAAGTGAAATTGGTAAACTACTGGTTGATTTAGTAGGAACATTAGTTTATGGCAAGATGTATATGTACACTGATCAGCTTTGAAGTGTGTTTTTAGGAGAATGCAGAGCACAATGTTTAGTTTTTTAAGATGATTTTTTTGTTTATCCGTCTGATTTTTTTTTTTTTTTTGCTGTAAGTTATGTTTCACTGGGAAATGCGCAACGTCATGTTATCTAGTCGTTGACTTCTACTAAAGCTTGAAGTTCCTTAAGTTTTAAATTCCTCATCCGCATCCTCATAAATAGAATCATCTTCAATATTAAGATGAAAAATTCGTGGAACTACTGCTTCCAGTGACTTAACGAGACAATAAATCTTAGACTTGGGATCATTTATGGTTTATATCCAGTTGGGCCTTGAAAATGATGCCTTCTTCTTATGCCATTTGTATGAAGAATGTTGTCACGATCTTATCTGCTCCTTTCATTTTTCAATTCCCTATAGTTTTTGTAATGTTGAAGGACATTCGGTATTTTATAACTATTTTGTGCCGGTGTCGCTCAGATGATTTTTTGTGCTAGGTAAATTTTTTATGTTCTGAATGGGTAGTGGGTGCTGATTCTCGTACTGAAAGGGACCTAACCTTTGTATGGAGACTGGAGAACTTGTAGCTTCTGCTGCTTTATCTTTGTTTTGGAAAATAGAATAAAACCTTGTTTTGTGGTCTTTCCAAATAGCTTTTTATGGAAAACATCATTAAAAAAATTGTTTAGCTTTGAACCCTGTCCTTTATGGTTCTTTTCAATACCCAGAATTCATGTGTGATATTACCTTTATACTAATCTTCTGGATATCATGCTGCAGAGTAGTCCTGAGGATTCTACATTGAAAAATGTTTCACCGGGTGAATCTGGTATCCATGACAATTTTCTACTTCAAAATGGTATGTAAAACTTGTGTGGGTATTTTTAGTCATTTCTTGTCCTTATTGGTTGTAATTAGTCTATCAAGATTTAGAAAAGATATGTTCTTTAACACTGAATCTTGGATATGACATGGAGTGTAGTTGCTGATAATTTTCAGTGGACTGTTTCTCATGCCTACTTATTGGGGCCTCAAGTGCCACTTGTTCTTTTGATTTGACTTTAGTAGTTTTGGTCATAATAGGTTGTTCTCAGTTCTGCTCAGATGGGTTAGATTCTGAGATCAGAGGCTTAACTAGTTTATGGGATTCTGCAGGGGCCTCTGTGCTTCAATGTGAACATGAAAACCAGGGGCCTTCTTCACATACTTTCTCTTCCCCAAATGCTCATGCTGGTGGTTATAGGGAGTCGTTCTCAGTGGGTGAAAATGATGAAATTTGCTTCACAGAACGCCCAGGAGTTTCAAATTGTGAGATACCTGCTTACATTGCTGACACAAGGTTCCCTGATCCTGAGGCGAATTCAAGCAACGTAGTCTGTGGAGATAATTTGAATCTGTCTCTATGGAAGTCTGAAAATGACAGCCAAGTCAAGCATGCAGGATATGATGCTGAATCTGAACGTATGTAGAATCTAAGACATTGCATCTAGTTCATTCTTTCAAAAATTTACTCTAGATCATTGTCATGCTTGAAACTTGGGAAGCAACCTGATTATTTTTTATGTCTGCAGATGCTTCACATGGATCTAACGTTGATAATGTTGATGTAAATATTGAAGATTATGGTAACTATATGAAAGACATCATCGGAATTTCTGGGAAACAGGAAAATGACTCGTGTACATCTTTTGAAATGCCGTTTGTGGATGCTGATATATCTTCACATGTTGCAACATCAACTGATTCTTCTATTTGTCAAGGTTCCAATGTTCCCAATGGTTATAGTGACTTTTATCCATCTTTGAATTGTTATCGAGGTATGGATGATAGATCTGTTGTTGCCAACACTTCTGGTTGTTTGTCTAATGGTGTATATCATGAGTGGAAAAATGAAGAAATGATGAGGAACACGAAGGTTGCTAAAATGGAGTTCTTTGCTGATACAACACATGCGAGTAGTGGCATGCATTTCAGCCCTAATGGAGGGATATCCTTTCCAGATAGTCAATTTATGTTTGCAGATAGTAACTATGCATCATTTTTTCCTGGTAATGTTAGTTTTGAAGACAATACATCAATGCAACTCTCAATTTGGGCTCCATATATATCAAGTGGAGGTCAATCACTAAATGTCAAAGCTGAAAGGGACGAACAGATTATGCCTTACCAAAGTTCCGTTCACAGTGATGATACTGAGTTCAATGCTGGTCAAGAGACGAAACAACTACACGGTATTTTTGGTGCTGTTGGATGTCAGGGTAATGATTTATTCAAGTGTGAGGATAGTGTTACTATAGCAACAACTGAGAAAGCCAATTATTATCACGATGCTATAGATGGATCTGCCAATAACTTTCCAGAACTCATGGGAAATTTGAATTTAAAACCATTAGATAAATCTTTGTATAATGCCCAGACATTAATTGCCAGTGGGAAGCAGTATAATTGTGTTATGAATAAGGGAGAGGGCAAAACAATTGAACATAGAAGTATTGATTCTCAAGTTCCAAAGGGAAACATTGAGAGATCCAGTATTGAGGATGATTCTGATGTTTGCATTATTGAAGGCATCAGTCACCCTGCACCTATAATTCGACCCGTGGAGCTTGGGAATTGCCTTAATGCATCACAATCTTCTAGAGGTGGTTATACTCATTCTTATATGGTCGGAGGTATGAGGCCAAAGGCGCGTGACGAGCAATTCATATTACGAGTTGCATTGCAGGTTGACTTTTTTCTTTCTTTTGTAGTTTTGTCTTCTGTAGCCCTCGGCAGTTTTAAGGGTTTTATTTTTGCATATGCACCTAAGTTGTTCCTCCTTTTTCTGCCAGCATGATTTTAAATCATTATATACTTTAAATTGTTATTTGAGGTATGTGATTGTATGAAATTTGGTGGAGATGGGAATGTTTGTATAATTCAGAATATTAACTTTGGGATAGAGTTGTTTATATGGCCTATGTATAGGATGGGGTCTGGAAGACTTTGATTGGTTTTGTAATTCTCCTCACCCCCTCCTTGGTGCTTGCTATTTTTTGAATTTTTCCGTGGCTTGTAGGACATACTACAATAGCTTAATGTCCTGTGTTTCTGAAATGCAAGTAAACTAACTTCTGTTGCTGATTGTAGGATCTATCCCAGCCCAAGTCAGAGGTTAGTCCACCAGATGGACTGCTGACAGTTCCTCTTTTACGACATCAGGTTATTTTGCAAATCCAATCTTTGAATTTTTTAGGTGTTGTCTCTCCTTTTCAAATGTTTTTCTTTTGTGAGATTTCCTTTACAAATGTTATTATAGGTGGTCTGTTGCAAAGCATCTTTCAATGTAAAATGAATATCTGGATCTGGAATTTGCTAGTCAAGCATAAAAAAGGAACATTAATCGAAATAATTGCTTCAATTATAGAAACTAGGCATTTTTTTTACAGAAAATTCAGATAACCCCCTATTAGAAATCAGAACCTTGGCTTCCTCGTTTCACACACATAATATGAAAAAAAAGATAGAAATATTGCTCTGGTTCAATATTTCTAAGGCTTGCCGTAATGCTTCCCCCCAGCAGATTTAATTTGATACACCTTTATCATTCCTTCCTGTGATGTGTGCAGGGTGATTAAAAAGTAAATTCCCCCATCTTGTCCCATTCAGCTCATCCTTGCTGCCATAGTAATCCAAGTAACCATACAAGGCCTAAGAATCAATTATTAGTAGTGTACTGTAATAAACAATTAATTTGTACCTCAGACATCTGTCAGCTTAAGCACCCTTCAGTTTTTTGGAAAGGATTTTTCCCATGTCTATTTTTGTTCTTTCCCAGTTTCAGTTTTTTTTTCCCTAACCAAAACTCATTTCCAAATTTCAGAATCTGAGATGTTTTTTGTTTTTCTGCAAAGGTCAAATATTATTGCTTCAGACAATTGCTTTCCTTTTGAGTCAGTTAACTGCTCAAAGTTTCTTGTGAAAGTGGTTTGGTGTTTGTTATTCCAACTCCTATACAATCCTTATCTTTTATTAAGTTCAACCCATTTTTCCTTTGATGCCATCAGACTAAAGTCGTTGCTTACTCTGTATCATTGAGTCATCTGACTAAATTTGTTGCTTTGTCAGAGAATTGCTTTATCATGGATGGTTCAGAAGGAAACATCAAGTTTATACTGCTCTGGAGGAATTCTTGCAGATGATCAGGTCAGTGCACTGCATTCTTAATGTGATATGATAGTTGATTGTCTAAAAGCATATGATTTACTCCTTGCTACTAAATTGTTGTAGGGTCTTGGAAAAACAGTGTCAACCATTGCTTTAATATTGAAGGAAAGACCTACTACGTTACTGAGTAAATGCAACAATGTGCAAAAATGTGAATTAGAAACTTTGAATCTGGATGCGGATGATGATCAGCTTCCTGAGAATGGTGTGAAGAATGAATCTAATATGTGTCAGGATTTGTCTAGTAGAATTCCGAACAAGAGCATAAATTTGTTAGTGCATGCAAAGGGAAGGCCATCTGCAGGAACCCTTATTGTTTGTCCAACTAGTGTCTTGCGACAATGGGCTGATGAGTTGCAAAATAAGGTAACTGGCAAAGCAAATCTCTCTGTGCTAGTGTACCATGGAAGCAATCGAACAAAAGATCCTTATGAGCTTGCTAAGTATGATGTTGTTTTGACGACTTATTCAATTGTCAGCATGGAGGTCCCTAAGCAGCCTCTGGTTGACAAAGATGATGAAGAAAAAGAAACTTATGATGATCTTGCAGTACCAAGTAAGAAAAGGAAGTGCCCTCCTAGTTCTAGTAAAAGTGGCAAGAAGGGATTGGACACTGTGATGCTTGAGGCCCGTCCTCTGGCAAAAGTGGCTTGGTTTAGAGTTGTCCTTGATGAAGCCCAGAGTATAAAGAATCACAGAACCCAAGTTGCAAGGGCCTGTTGGGGTCTTCGGGCCAAGCGTAGATGGTGCTTGTCAGGGACTCCTATTCAGAATGCAATTGATGATCTCTACAGTTATTTTAGATTTTTAAGATATGATCCTTATGCTGTGTACACATCATTCTGTTCCACAATTAAGATCCCTATCAGCAGAAATCCATCAAAAGGATATAGAAAGCTACAAGCTGTCTTAAAAACTATAATGTTACGTCGGACAAAAGGTAAACTCAGATTTTCAGTTTCCATTTCTTGCACCATTAGTAACATCATTATACATGAATTCATTCTATTAAATAATTGCTTCTATGAGTAAAATTTATTTATAACCACCCTATGGTGATCATTTGCTATAGGCACACTTCTTGACGGGGAGCCTATCATTTCCTTGCCACCCAAATCGGTAGAGTTGAAGAAAGTGGAATTTTCACAGGAGGAACGTGAATTCTATTCCAGACTAGAGGCTGATTCCCGAGCACAGTTTCAGGTATGGCCTGTTCTTACTCTTAGAATTGTCTTGAAAGATTTAGATAATAAAAATCTGTTTTTTTAATGTTGTCATGCTCTTTATTCTGTCCCCAAGAGGATTGTTTCTGGTAGTATATTTTAATGTCAATCCCTATCAATTTCTCTTTTGTCATGTAGGAATATGCTGATGCTGGAACTGTGAAGCAAAACTATGTTAACATTTTGTTGATGCTTTTGCGCCTTAGACAAGCTTGCGATCATCCTCTGCTTGTCAAGCGATACAATTCTAATTCTCTGTGGAAATCTTCAGTTGAGATGGCAAAGAAGCTTCCTCAGGAAAAACGACTATCTCTTCTAAAATGTTTAGAGGCTTCCTTGGCCCTCTGTGGTATCTGTAATGTATGTTTGACTCTTTTTTATTTGCAAATAAATATGAAACTTGTTTTTGCCAGTTGTTGCATTTCATCATAGGATAGGTAGAAAGGATGATTGTGATTTATTTATTAAAATAATTACTAATTTGCCATATCATCATGATTAACTATTTTTAAGTAAAGTATATTCCCAAGACCGACTTCTCTGCTCTAATATTATTCTTTGTTTTTATGCAGGATCCTCCTGAAGATGCTGTTGTTTCAGTTTGTGGTCATGTTTTTTGTAACCAATGCATTTGTGAACATCTTACTGGTGATGACAATCAGTGCCCTGCTACTAATTGCAAAACTCGGCTAAGCATGTCTTCAGTGTTCTCCAAAGTCACACTGAACAGTTCTTTTTCCGATCAGGCTTGTGATAATTTGCCTGGTTACTCTGGTTGTGAAGTGGAGGAATCTGAGTTTTGTTCTCAGACTCAGCCATACGATTCTTCAAAAATTAAAGCTGCACTTGAGGTGTTGCAATCATTGTCTAAACCACAATGCTGTGCATCCCAAAATAAATTGGTGCAGATTAGTTCTGGGGAAAGTACTGATGGCCTTGGTAGCTCATCTAGTGCCGCCACACCGAAATCCTTAATTGAATTTCCGGAGAATCAAAATTTGATTGAGGAGAGAAACTCTAATAATTCTGTTGGTGTAGGGGAGAAAGCTATAGTGTTTTCTCAGTGGACAAGGATGCTAGATTTGCTTGAAGCATGTCTTAAGAATTCTTCAATCCAGTATAGAAGACTTGATGGAACAATGTCAGTCACTGCAAGAGATAAAGCTGTTAAAGATTTTAACACTCTCCCTGAGGTTTGTAAAGTTACATTGATATTGATGAGTTCTAAATTTCCATGTTGGGAATATTGGTAGCAATAGTCAACCCACCTAGTAGGAAATGACTTTGGTTGTTTTTTTGGAAGATTGGGAGTGAGATACATCAAGTTATATTATTTGGTTCTATTTCAGTCGTTAATATAATTAAGTTTGATCTATCGTCTTTCAGGTTTCAGTTATGATTATGTCCTTGAAGGCTGCTAGTCTTGGTCTGAATATGGTCGCTGCCTGCCATGTTCTAATGCTAGATCTATGGTGGAATCCTACAACCGAAGACCAGGCAATAGATAGAGCGCATCGAATTGGACAGACTCGTCCTGTCACAGTTTTACGTTTAACTGTTAGGGATACAGTGGAAGACCGTATATTAGCTCTGCAGGTATTTTCTTCTGGTTGCCATGTAAAGTTTATATATATATAAATATATATGTCAAATAATTACAGTATTGCTGAACAAAATTTAGTAAATACAGAGAATATGGAACTTGGCCAGTCATCATACGTGTTACTTCTTTAAAGAATGCAACTTTGTACCCGTGCACAATATATTTAGTATACCTGTTAATAATGCTGTACTTCTAGATACTTCCATTGATTTATCTTTGTTCTATGGTCTTTACACTTTTGTGCATGTGTAATTGATTTTATAACATTTATCCTTGTAGTACTTGTATCTGGGCTTACAGATTTATATTGGTGGTTGCTCACGCTAGAAAATCTGCTCTCTTTAATATACTTGCAGCAAAAAAAGCGAAAAATGGTTGCATCTGCCTTTGGAGAGGATGGAACTGGTGGTCGTCAAAGTCGCCTTACAGTGGATGATCTAAAATACTTGTTCATGATGTGATTACTGACTAGACACATATATCCATACAGATATAATTTTTATTTTTTGGATTGGTGATTTTTTTCCTGGGAGCAGGCGTCATTGTGGGTTGTTCTTTTTGGTGGCAGCAGAAGAAACAGGGTGCTGAAAATTTTCTAACATGGCCTCTGTTGACACTTGACATGAAAGATTATATGAATTGTCTTTATAGTTAGAGAGAGATGATTCACATTTGTTTACCTTGAAATTTTGGTTTAGTCGTTAACATTTGTATAGGATGTAGAGAGTAGAGGCTTTTAGACAGAAACAGAGAAATTATTGTGCTCGTTGTAAATATCATAGATAGATAATTTTTTTCTTTCCTTTTCCAATATTTCTTGCTCCTTTTGGTTTTTAATTTTTTTTAATTTATGCAACATCGGAACATGATAATTATATTTAATCTGGTGATTTGTCATTTTAGAGTGAACAAAATTAGCTCCTGAAATGTTTAACAAAATTATAATTTAAGATAGCTCCAGAAAAATATGCTCCGAAGTTTTGTACATTAAGATGTGCATGATACATATAAACAGTTTTGTTAATCATATAATTAGTACTAAATATTCAAGAGTCACATTTTTATTAATCACATTGTTATTACGAAGTATTCAACAACTTTTTTTTAATTGTGAATATGATACACGTAATGTCTTAAAGTTAAAAATAAAGACTAATGATCAAAAATGTATTCAACGATTTTGAGAATGACTAATCTTATTTAGGGTAGAAATTACCTATAATTGGGTCTCCCTTTTCAATATTATTTTTTTTAAGGGTGAATCAGTGTTACTTGGATCAATAATTCGGTGGCTAATATTATTAGTTTTAGCTCACTGTTATAATTTTTATTACAATTGGAAAGGGAAAAAAATATATTAATTTCGTAGTTATATTAGATTGTGTGACTTGTGTCTTGTCAAAGATGAATTAGAACAATAAAATGATATAATAAATCTATATACGATGGAAAACTAATCTCACAATTTATTATATGCAAAATTTTATACCTTTCTATTATATGTACATATTTGTTAAAATATAAAATAAAACTAAAAGTAAACATCTTAAAACACCTTTTTTTTATATATAGATATAATTCATGCAACATTTTAAAGTTGATAATTAAAGACTAATATGTGTTTGTAAAATATAGTTTTCACTTGTTAAATATTATTTTAATCCTGATGAAAATCTTGAAACACTTTAAAGCAATTTACTTGTTATATACTTAAAGATATTTGAATAATTTTATAATATATTTATACTTAATTGACTTAAATATATTTTAATTCCTATAAAATGAGTAAATTTTAATTTTTGTAAAACTTTCTTTTATTTTTCATCTTTCTAAAATTTATACATTATTTTTGACAATCTAGCTTCCCTTACCTGAAAATTGGCTCTAAACAACCAAGAATTTGGGAATAAGAAAACTTTCCTCCGAGTTTGACTCCCAAACTTCAATCCTTCAAAATCAAGCTTCTAAGCCCAGAGTCCTTCTCTCTATTAAATATTTATTAATGATGTTGTTGGTGATGCTTTTGTGATGAAGATGAGATGTAAATGAGATGCATGTTGTAGTTAAGTTGTGAAGTTGTTTACAAGTTGTGTGTTGATCTATGATATTGTTGAAGCATGTTGAAATTAAGTTGATAAAATTGTTTTATGTTATGTGTTGATTGTCTATATTTTGTGAAATATGATAAGATGATCTAGTGGAGAGTTGTGAAGTACATGATGATAAGGTTGTGAGTTGTGCGAAGTTTGTAGAGGTATTGAGACGATACAAAAGTTATTAGTAGATTGTGTTGCTAAGTTGTTAGATGAGAGTTGTATGTTGTACTTTGTGTTGAAAAGGCATTAATTTGTGATAGTTGAGTTATAAATTATGAATTGAGATGTTGAGTTGATAGTTGAGCTGATGAGATGATAATTATGTTGTTTAAAGTTGAAATGAGATGTTGTGTTGTTAAAATGTGTTGTTAAACGGTGTTGATGAGTTATTGTGTTGATAAACTATGTTGTTCAAGTTGAAAGTTAACTGAGATGATGAGTTGATAAGTTGTGTGTCGTTTAAATTGTTGAGCTGAATTGTGATGTGAGTTGTAAGTTGTTTGTACTGTGATGACGAGTTGTTAATCACTAGGAGTAGGGTAGATATTTTCGAAGTTGCTCATCTCATTATGTGGATTGAGAGTGTTGTGGTGCTCTAAGAGCCCAATTTGTTGAAAAATCCTCCTTGGGAAGTTGTCCCTTGGAGTAGACGTTGTGTTGTTCTCCTCTAGGACTTAGTTGATCCCGTGTGTGAGTAAGGTCGAGGCACACGTGTATGAAGCGACAATGGTATAGGGGTCAGGTCGAGCTATACCGATTACAAGCGGCCAATATGAGTAAAGTACAAAGTCGAAAACTTAGTTCCTAACCGAGTATCGGAGGGTTGTAGTATTTGGAGGATAGTCGGTAGGCTAATCCCATAGGTGGCTTAGTTAAGCTAGCTAATGTCGTGGTAGGCCCAAACTCAGCTGTTCTATCTTAACAGAGTATTATACTTCTAAGTGGAAAAGTCTGAGAAATCGTTATCGTGTTGTAGATTTCAATCCAAATTTGTTGTTTACCTAGCAAGCCCAAAAAGGTTTTGTGTTGTCGGTTCGGTAGGACCTAGTCACTTAGACTACTCACCACATTGTAGGAGATCTCTGAGTTGAAATGCGTGACGACACATAAGTTGTTGATTCTGTGTTGATTTAGTTGCATATCTGTTGTGATGTTGTGAAGTTGTGATTAAGTTGGGTGTTGTTATGTGTTGAACGTTGAACGGTTGAAATGTTATTTATGTTGTTGAAGTTGTAGGTTGTTTATATTTATATGTTGGTTATTTTCACTAACTTATCCTTGCATGTTTTTATGTGGCTTGGACTGCGATGATCATACTATGTATGGCAACCAAGAATTTGGGAATAAGAAAACTTTCCTCCGAGTTTGACTCCCAAACTTCAATCCTTCAAAATCAAGCTTCTAAGCCCAGAGTCCTTCTCTCTAAAACTTCTCTCTAAAACCTATCTCTAAGTTCCCCTTCTCACAAATAATAATTATTTTAATATTATATAATTTTTTAGATACGTCAAATAATAACATGATATTACTAACAATCCTAAATAAGATATAAGACGACACTTAAATTATTAATAAATAAAAAATAGTTAATCACATAAAAAATAAAGATTAAAAATAATAATTCTAATTTTATAACAATGAACTTTTTTTATAAAGATCAAAAATTAAAACTTACTAATTTTACATGGACTAAAAATATTTAACTCATTAAAATCTATATAATTTTACGCTTTGGTTAATTATTGCTGTTCCATTCCACTAATAAACAATATTCATTTAACAATGACAATTTATAGTAAATATTACTCGCTGGTATAATTTTTTTTTTTTTTACCATTCCTAGATAATTCTAGTAGTGGCTGTTATTTCCTCTTGTTTTCTGTTAATTTTATGGTCCAAATTAACTGTTAGATAGCGCACTATTAGTTAGATATTTTTTTTTTCCCATATATACCAATATGGTGTTAACACATAATCATAGTCATTAAATATACGGTTTATAAGTTTGATTTTAGGTATTTGTATATGAAAAAATATTTGAAATCTTTAAACTGTTTTTTGTATATTACGAAATTAGTCTGTTAATTTCAGCTAAAAAAAAACTATTTGGTTTTAGAAATATTTACACATGTTTTTGTGAATTAAAGAATTTCAAGTTTGATTTTAACAATTTTTTCTAGATATATAAATAAGTGTGCTTTTATTTCTTCTAAAATATTTTTACACATGTTTTTCTTCAAAAACTTGTAATCATTCTCAATTATACAATAAATTTTTTTTAATTAAAAACTATAATTTTTTTTCTTCTATCTAATGCCACTTTTAAGTTAATGAGTCAAACTTAAGCCTATGTTTGGTTCCAATGAAAATAGGAAGAAAATAAAGGAAAGATATAAGGGTAAGATTGTGTTTTCCTTTACTTGATTAGTATATAAATAAGAAAAGAAAATTTTGATAGGTCCCTTACAAAAGTTTGTGTGTGTTTTTCCTTTTGGAAAGAAAAGTAAAGAGAAAGTGTGAAATTGAATGAAAAATAGGTT